ATTTACATTATCTCAAATTTTCATTCAATTTGAAGAGCCACAATCACTTTGTTGTCGAATTAATAAATTAGTGTGTTAAAAAACAAGGTGAACTGACATCAGTAATTATTAGTAAGAACTGTCAATCTTGGAGACCGCTGAAATAATTTTAATAATGGCCCCCAACCTGTAAGAATTTTTACATTTTAATATTTGGATGGGGATGGGCTAAGTAGTTGCAGGCCCCTCAATGTTCTCTGTATCTACTGGAGTTCATTACCATTTGATTTTCATAGAAGAATAAATGTGATGTACATGTTGTAGTATAAAATAAAATGAATGGCAAGTCAAATCGATTTTGAACTAGTTTGATTTCTTTTCATGATTACAAGATTATTAAAGAAGGATGGTTGAAGTACTTTTTGAGTCAGTAATTCAGGACTCCCGTAACCAATGCAAAAGTCTGTCAATTTTTTCAGCATTGCATTCCAAAATTCCATATTAAACTCCACCTCTATGATTAGGATTCCTTTGTTTGTGTATATAATCAAATCTGCATTTTTCAAACAAGTTGTGGCAAGTTCACCCTGTATCTGGTAGTGTCATCTTGTTTCAGTCTTCAGTTGGTACTTTCCATTAACTTTAATAATGTACTCTGATGCAGCAATATGTGGAGGGAGGTTGCTTTTTGAAAACAGGCTTTTGATCTCCACTACCCTCTTACTACAGCACTCACAATATCGGATACCATCGGGGCTGGCTCCTAGGTGTGGCCATGATGTATTGTTTACAAGTCCACTTTTACAAACACGTAGGCCTTGGTGCTTTTTTTGACATTTTTTGATGTATAAGTCTATTACTGCCTGTTCTTTGTCATGCCCCCACTAAAATTGCACTGGTGTTCTCTCTGGTGGCAGTGGACAGTAATAAAGAGAAAAGGAGAAATTAACAGGAGAAAAAAAAAGGCCCGACGTCGTGTCGAACTCGACTCACGACAAAAGATACACATTCTCGGCCCGCGCAGCGCCTAATCGCTTGTGCTAACGAAGCAACGTAGATGAGAAGGCTATATTTTATGANCTTACTACAGCACTCACAATATCGGATACCATCGGGGCTGGCTCCTAGGTGTGGCCATGATGTATTGTTTACAAGTCCACTTTTACAAACACGTAGGCCTTGGTGCTTTTTTTGACATTTCTTGATGTATAAGTCTATTGCTGCCTGTTCTTTGTCATGCCCCCACTGAAATTGCACTGGTGTTCTCTCTGGTGGCAGTGGACAGTAATAAAGAGAAAAGGAGAAATTAACAGGAAAAAAAAAAGGCCCGCCGTCGTGTCGAACTCGACTCACGACAAAAGATACACACTCTCGGCCCGCGCAGCGCCTAATCGCTTGTGCTAACGAAGCAACGTAGATGGAAAGGCTATATTTTATGAATATAATACTTGTATTGGCTTGAAAACAAGCGGCTAATGTGACACTTCGTTGATTTCATTGTCCAGCAAAACAAAAGGCTTCTTTTGTTACGCATTTGACAGAAAGATGCCACTAGGAAAAGTGCCTTTTTTTGCACACGTTATTTCTTGAAAACGAAGAGCAACCCAGCGACAAAAACTGCAGAGCAATGTTTCTCAGGTAAAATGAAGCCTACATGCCAAAATTCGGCTATTTTTGAGCACTTTAAAAAATAGCCCAAAAATCAAGGGGACGTTCTTGCATGGGGCCTTTCAATTTAGAAGTTCTTTTAATGCGTTGTCTTTATTTGTAGTTTCTCTAAGGTAACATATTTTATAGAAGTTGGAGGCAGTGATCCTTCCTACTCTCTGTTTGGACCACAATTGAGTTTCCCCTTGGCCCTTGGTTTTTTCATTGATCATGTCAAATTGCTCCTGAGTAATGGAAATAGCTTCAAAAAACTGTGACACTAACTGAGGGTCAACTGATTCAACAGCACTAGTTTGAATGTTGCGTAAGGAGACAAAGTTATCTTTAATATTAGAGATAGAGAATATT